AGTTGGTTGAGATGATCTGTCGCGCTTCTGCATATGCAAGTTTCCCCTTCTTTTGCGGGTGAATAAAGGGCCTAAATGGTTGTCTTGTGTACGTGACAAGGCTCTGCTAATTTCATCGAGACCAGAGGGAGCACGGTGGGAACTAAGTGGAATCAATAGTTGTTGTTTGTTTTCATGTAAAATGAATTTAGATACTGGTAGTGCAGGGCTGATCTGGCAGTTCAGAGTTGTCATTCATGCCTCAGCCTGCTGATGACTTCATTCTCTGCTGTCTCTGCATGTGGCTTCCAACCCCAAGGTTGCCTTACGGTTCTAGGAGGGCTGCCGCACCTCCAGTTCAAAGGTCTACATCCTAGGCAAGAGAAAGAAGGAAGTACGGAGAGTGTACACTCACACTCCCAGCTATCTTGGCCTCCCTTTTGAAGGACCTCTGGGAGAAGCACAAACCCACAACTTTCACCTACAAACTATTGATTCCAACTTAGTCCCTTGCTCTCTGGTATCTATGAGATAGCAGAGCCTATTGCAGTACCCAAGAAAATTAGGCCTTATCACCAAGAAGAAAGGGGGACTGCATGATGCAGAAGCGACCAGTCATCTCAACCAGATTCTGCACAGCCCAAATTCAAACTGTTACAATATAATCAAATTTCATCAACCCTAGTCACATCTTAATCTTAGAAGTTTTGATCACTGACTTGCAAATCCCAAAAGTGTGTTTTGAGGTCCTAGGCCACAGGAAGAACCAGTTTGTCCCACAGACGTCTTACAGAGATGGTATTCGCAGTCTATCTAGAGTCCAGCTTCAGATAATATGTACTCCACTGGCAGCACGAGAAATAAATACACAGGAAAATACAATATAGCACAAACCAGGAGCTGAGGGCGAATGAAGATGCTCAGAAACACCCACACTAAAAATTTGCTGAAAAAGGTAAAACATGTCAAGCAGCACCGCCTCTGGAAACCAGAAAAATTATATTATTTGATAACAGATCCTAAGCCTGGATGCTGGAGGTGCTTAAAAATGTGCACTGTGTCTGGCTTTCTTTCCACGTATACATTTATTTGACTCTGTAGTAAAATCTCCTCCTCCTTTATGTCCCATATTCATGCAAGTAGATGCTAGCAAACTCCCACAATAGCATTTTAATTAGTGTACATCTTTCTCTCTTCACCACATTATAGTCTTTTCTCATTTTGTTCTGCTGATATTTCTATTAAGATAAAAGACTTAATACGTAGAAATACGTATATACATGTACATGCAAGAATGATTCAAATAGACAAACACAGAAACACAAACAGTAAGGGAGGTAGGGCTGGAATTTTTCTTCAACATGTACAATTCAGTGTACTTCTAGTTTTCATTTCAACCTTCCTCAGTGATTTCTTCCCAGCAACTGATGAGAAACATCACCTCTGAGCCAATCAAGAAACTAATTCTTCCAAAGAGAGATTATTCCAATTTCTCACGGAGACCAGACAGTCTCTGCTTTCTTTTCCCTTTCTTCCGAATGAGAGATTAAATCTCATAATAGAAAGAATGGAGAACTATTAACCGCCTTTCTTCAGTGGGCTGTGATTCAGAGGGGAATACTAAGAAGTAAGTGGGGGATGTTGATTAGAGCCTGCGCTACAATGCCTGGGAGGACAGGGGCTGAATCGCTGAGAGTAGTGAGTGGGCATGTAGGAAGAGTACTTGCCCAGAGAAAGGGTGAGGTGCCTGTGTGTGTGTGTGTGTGTGTGTGTACGTGTGCCTGGGCACCCACACATACATGTGGGCACATGGGGAAGAGGCAAGTAGTGCAAAGAATAAAGACCTGCAGATGTTGCAATTTGGTGGAAGGAAAGGGAGACAACATAAATGAAGAAATATTCCAACTGCATGTTCTTAAGAACTTATTGTGGTCAGAAGAGGGCAAAAAAGTCTCTAAAATCTGTTTTGGCCAACTCAAGCATCTATTCTAAGAGAGTCTAGAAAGAGATGTGCCTTATAGATTCATATGTAAATTTGTTCATTATAGAAATATTTATAATATAGAAAAATCTGAACCAGCATACACATACAACAGGCGGGGGATAGACAAACAATACATGGTTCTATCATAAAAGAGATTTCGATGCAGTCTTTAGGAATCATGTTTTTAATAAAGGGCAATTATTTTTCATTTTAATAGCATTAGGTCCATACGTTAAATCTTATTTTGTATGTTTTAGGTACAGTATCTGTTTTTCCTTCCAATAATCGTTTCCTCATAACCCAATATAAATGTTTCAATGGACATAATCTATTTCATTGTATGAATATATAATTATTTTTTAAAACTTTCCTAATTTTGGCTATTTCAATTATCTACATTTGGCTACTGTAGATTTTATTATATTTAACAGCCTCAGACATAAATTTTTGCCTTAATTTCTGACTTTTTTTTGCTTCAACAGTAATTCCTATAAGTGGAACTTTTGGGTAAAGCATACAACTTCTTTTTTTTTTAATAGCATTTCCTTATCAGAGCAAGTAACTTTTTAAAGACGCTTGCTGTATATATGACCAAAATGCTTCGAGAAATATTTCTACGACCAAAGTATGTGATTACTACTACAGATTTTTAATTTTATTGATTGACTAATTTGTAGAAATGGGGGTCTCATTGTGTTGCCCAGGCTGGTCTTAAACTCCTGGGCTCAAGGAATCCTCCCACCTTGACCATCCAAATTGCAAAGATTACAGGCATGAGCCACTACTTAAACTTTTATTCCTTTATGCTTTTCTTCATTTGCAATATTGACTATAATCAGGAAGAAAAATATAAACATCCTTTAAAAAGAATGAAAACACACGGCTCACTTTAAGCAGAGCAGAGAAATTGTTAACTTTGAAACCAATGATAATAAAAATGATATCCATTCTGTAGCAACATAAAGAGCAGTTTTGAGGAACAGAAGATGTGAAATGCAATGTTTACTCTGGGTGGGTGCAAGATCCAGGCAAGGGTGGAGGATGGCCGGCTGCACAGACCTCTGTTCCAGTGCTTCCTCTTCATCCCTCCCCACCTCCGTCTGCAGACCTTGTTCTCAAAGGCCATTCCCAGACTCAGGTGGTCACAGCAGTGGGTGTTATGGCTGCAGACCTCATGCTCCTTTGCTTTGGAAGAAGCTGTTGAGAAGTTGGTATTTACTGAGCAGCTAATATGTTCCAGTCAGTATTATCACTCATAATAATTACTGTTAAGTAATACATGAAAAATTCTAAATTTAAAGCATTTCAATATTTTAAAAGTAAAGGGAGCAAAAGGCCAAAGTGATCTTTCGCTCACTTAACCTCCGATCTTCAGTTGAGCATGCATCTTTTTAGACTTTTGCAGGCATTTACATCTATAAATATGCAGAAATGTATAGCTTAGCTTTTGTTTTTCAACGGAATCATTAGTATAGTTCTGCAATGTGCTTTTTGACCGCTTAGTGTATCACCATTATCTACGTTCATGACAATAAAGCAACTCTTTTACCTGCTGCATTGAATTCCCTCTGAGGGATGAATCATCATTCTTCTAAGCAGTCTCTTGTTGGGTGGCTGGTTCAGTTGGTTACCACTTTTATACTTTAAAAATAGTGTGTCATTCTCACAGAGGCTTCTCTCTGCACCCATACAAGTACTTTGCTGGACTAGACATCAGGAAGTGGAATTGCTGGGACAATTGTGCACATTCTAAATTTCACACTTCATGATATTGTATGAATAAATAAAGTTCCAATGGTTTTGTCCCATGAACGAGATCACGCAGCTTGTGAATCTTAGAACCTTTACATATTGCTTACCTTCTTTATGTCCTTAACACTAATATAGTAGTCCTCACCCATTGTAGGTGCTCAGTAAATATTTGTTGAATGACTTTATGAAGGGAAGAAAGAAACAATGGGTAAAGCCTGGTCTTATTTGCAGCTCTCTGATCTCTAGCCTTGAATTAAATGTGGTGGGTTCAGCCCCTGACTGACTCCAGAGCCCCCACCAGGCAGTCTGCCTGAATCCCACCAGGAGTCCACTGGGCCATGACTTGACCATGGTGATGGCCAAGAGTTGGGGCTTTCAGGAGTCCACAGTGTTGGACACCCACAGTGGTGGACCCCAGTGGAACCAAGGAGCCCAGTAAAGAGGGTCCTGCATGAATCAGAGGGAGATAGTAGAGGGTTGGACATGGCAGGGGAAGTTTGGGGAAGTGATAGGATTCTGAATATTGTCAAGCAGTAGAGTCAAGGATTTCTTGATTGAATAACATGAACATTATACATAGACATGTTTTTACAGGTAATTTTCCATGTTGGAACTCAAAGGTAAAGACATTGAGGACAGGCCTTTTTGGCAGAGGTAAGATCTTCTTTGGTCACCATACTTGCGTTGTCCCTGGGGAAGTGGACATTTCCATGTGGAATCCTAAAGCTTCTTCTGGGTCATTGTGTCTGTCCCTCACCTTCTGGTGTCTCCTGGTATGCAGCACGGATGAAAATGGCAAGTTCCCTGGCCTTTCTTCTGCTCAACTTTCATGGTTGCCTCCTCTTGGTCCAGCTGCTTACTCCTTGCTCAGGTAGGGAATGATGCAACGCTTGTTTCTGAGGCAGGCAATTACCTATGAATGTCCTCTTAGAACTTTTTACTCCTTCCCATACCTGGAGGTCCATTCCAACCTGAAGGATCACCTGTCACAAAGAGACAAAGGGTGCTTCTGTTAGGATTGGTTTCCTCTCAAGGTTCTCTGCATCTCGCCTTCCCTGTCTGAGAAGCACCCTTCCTCTCATGACCCCAACTCCAACACCCACTGACGGAGCCTCTCCCTTGTGCCAACAGCTCAGTTTGCTGTGCTTGGACCCCATGGGCCCATCCTGGCCATGGTCGGTGAAGATGCTGATCTGCCCTGTCACCTGTTCCCGACCATGAGTGCAGAGACCATGGAGCTGAGGTGGGTGAGTTCCAACCTTAGGCAGGTGGTGAACGTGTATGCAGATGGAAAGGAAGTGGAAGACAGGCAGAGTGCACTGTATCGTGGGAGAACTTCGATTCTACGGGATGACGTCACTGCAGGGAAGGCTGCTCTCCGAATACACGTCACAGCCTCTGACAGTGGAAAGTACTTGTGCTATTTCCAAGATGGTGATTTCTATGAAAAAGCCCTGGTGGAGCTGAAGGTTGCAGGTGAGCCTCCAGGTTTTGTTCTGAGAACATTTCTCTGTAGGATCTAAAGCAGAGGCAGAGTTCCTCTTCCAAAAGCACTGCAGACACTCCTGGCTGCTCACTAGCAATTACCAGCACTGCCTTCCAACTTAGCTTCTCTGAGTCCCTTAAGAAAGACACATTCTTTCTTTAGAAAGAATTCCTGATGTATCCTACATGCTCAAGTAAACAACTCCCTCCCGCTGGAGACCAGAGATGTAAGGGAAATGAAAGACGAAGGAGAGGAAGCATAAGAAACCATCTCTTCAGTGGCTGGCACACCATCATTTTGGTTTAGTTGTGTAACAGACGGCTTCTGTTGTGTCTCCAAGTGCACACTACCATGGACCCTGGGAGGTGGAATAGTGACTGTATCTGCTGCCAGTGTTTTCCAATCAGTGACTCCCAGAAACATTTTTGTAGTAGAACAAGGCATGTTTCTTACTTGTTGCAGTGAGGAAGAACACACATCATGGGGAGCTGTGGCAGTATCTCAGTAAGAAGGTTTTAGAGCAGATTTATTATACAATTTGGGTTTGTGTTAGGGGATTTGGGGGATGGTTTATAGACTTAGCCCTCTGCTCTGGATGAGATACTGTCAGGAAGGTGTGGGGAGATGAATTCTGCTAGTGGGAGCCTTAGTCAAGCTTATCTAGGAGGAAGGAGACTAGGATGAGATTAAAGCTGTAATTGATGAAGAGGCAGAAATTCCTCATTGCCGATGGGGGATGTTTGGTCATTGATGTGGTTTGGACAATGTTCATGTTTTTCTCTGCACTCACACATGATGTGGGGTGGTCTTGTATTTCCCATGATCTGTCACAGTGATAAAGCACTATTTTTTGTGTTCTGTGAAATTGTTCATGTTCAACAGGAGGATATCAAGACCTGGTGTCAGGTTCCAGATGCCGAGGACATCTTTTTTCTTTCTCAGTGCAGTCCCTTGCCTCATGGCTTCTGGTTGGGTTTGGTTTAAGGAGAGCTATAGTAGACAATGGTAGGAGGAAGAGAAAAGGGAGAGGTCTGGGTGCTTATTTCCTGGCTTCATGACTGCAAGATACCCTCAGGCTGGCTGCACTGCCTTGCTGAAGGTCACAGGTCAACTCAGGAATGTCCTCAATGCATCAATCTCTTCATCTATGTCTCCAGAACAGATCCCTCTCCTCCTCCCTCTGGTAATTGGGGTGGGTGGGAATAGCCCCACCTTACTGACCCTGGGATACTGCCCTAGCAAATTTAGTTTTCTTCTCATCATGACCACACTTGTGTAAATAACTCCTGAATGAAATCTTTCTAGAATTATCAAATGTGAGTCTGCCATTGATTCCTATTGAGACCCTCCCTGATACAGGAGTTCTCAAGAATTTATGTCAATTTATCCTTCCACAGCATTGGGTTCTGATCTTCACGTTGAAGTGAAGGGTTATGAGGATGGAGGGATCCATCTGGAGTGCAGGTCCACTGGCTGGTACCCACAACCCCAAATATAGTGGAGCAACACCAGGGGAGAGGACATCCTGGTTGTGGAAGCACCTGTGGTTGCAGATGGAGTGGGCCTGTATGCAGTAGCAGCATCCGTGATCATGAGAGGCAGATCTGGGGAGGGTGTATCCTGCATCGTCAGAAATTCCCTCCTCGGCCTGGAAAAGACAGCCAGCATTTCCATCACAGGTCAGTACCCTGCTTGGCCTCAGCTTTACTGAGCTGAGCTGTGGCAGTTGATGAAGGGGGATGTGTGAGTCTCTACTGTGTGAGTCTCTGCGGTCAACCTGGGTCTCTGCACTGCATGTAAGGCTCAAAGCAGGGACTTGGAGGCCACTCCCTGCTCCAGGGGAGCTTCCCCACTCCACAAAACTGTCCATGCCACAAGTGTTTACTGATCACTTCCTGTCTGACAGAAACAGAAAGTGTGACAGGCAGTGGGAATTGGGGAAAAACATTAAGATAATCTCCTTATGTAAAGTCAAATGACAAAATGGGAAAACATATATATATTTACAAACTCATAGAGAAAGAGCTAATATTTTTGAAACAGAAGATTTTAAAAACTGAGTAAAAAATTTTTAACAAAGGTCATGAATTGTTAATTCACAGGAAAGGAAATAACCCGCAAAAGGGTGCTCATTCTCACTCATTAGGGAAACATATATAGGAAATTATTTTTCACTTATGATATTGGCAAAAATCAAAACCACACTGCCTTGCTTGATAACACATGGTTATGACAGGAATGTAGGAAGGCAGTGATTCTCAGTCATTTGGTCATGCCTCTTGTATTTTTGGTGTGCATTAGCTCAAGTTCTGTTGGGGGGTCTATCCAAACTACATATTTATTGATCCAAAATTCCAGTTCTGGGATGCGCTTCCATTTGTATGAGATGATCCATGTAAAAGGTTTCTGGGGTTTCTTTTGTTGTTGTTGTTGTTTGGTTGGTTGGTTGGTTTTGGAGAGGGAGTCTCACTCTTCTGCCCAGGTTGGAGTGCAATGGCGCAATCTCAGCTCACTCCAACCTCCTCCTCCTCAGTTCAAGAGATCCTCCTGTCACAGCCTCCCCAGTAGCTGGGATTACAAGCATGCACCATCACAACAGGCTAATTTTTACATTTTTACTAGAGATGTGATTCCACCATGTTGACCAGACTAGTTTCAAACTCCAGACCCCGCTTGATCCGCCTGTCTCAGCCTCCTAAGGTGCTGGGATTACAAGTGTGAGTCACCGGCCCGGCCTGTAAGAAGTTTCTTATAGCATTGATTATGATTGTATAAGGTTAGAAGTTATGCAGATGCTCACTGATGGTGAACTTCCATACAAGGGAATACTGCCCAGTTGTGAAAGAAAAAAGAGACAATTCTCTCTATACTAATGTGGAAAGATCTCCAAGACACACTCTACACAGAGAGTGAGATACAGAGTGATGTATATAGAATGTTATTTTTAGTTTAAACAGGAGGAAAAATAGGAACATATTTTAATGGACTTTTTTTAGTTCTTGATTGTGTTATTTAATTTACATTTTTAAAATTTAACAAGCAATTTGGTAACCCTCACTGTACACCAGGCACTTTATTTACTTATTTAGAGACAGAGTCTCAGTCTGTCACCCAGGCTGGAATGCTATGGACAATCTTGGCTCACTGCAAGCTCCACTTCCCAGGTTGAAGCAATTCTATAGCCTCAGCCTCCCAAGTAGTTGGGATTACAGGGACATGCCACTATGCCCGGCCGATTTTTGTAATTTTAGTAAATGTGGGTTTTCACCATGTTGGTCAAGCTGGTCTAGAACTCCTGACCTCAAGTGATCTGCCCACCTCGGCCTCACAAAGTGCTGGGATTACAGGCATGAGCCACTGCGCACAGCCCATCAGGCCCTTTATAAGTATTAACTTAATTCTTCTAACCTTAGGAGATAGGTATTATCATTACCCTCATTTTATAGATTAGGCCACTACAAACAGAGGTTATGTAAGTAGTCCAACATCACATTGCTGGTCACAAGGGCGAGTCAGCATTTAAACCCAGGCCCTCTGACTCCACAGTTTATGTCCCTAAGCATCATATTAAGTGGACTAAAGAGAAGTTAATAGATGGACAGAGGGAGAACTGGGTGGATGGGAGCGTTGCATGATTTCATGTATTTGTAGTTTTTGTACCATGGAAATGTGTTACTGGTTGAAAAAAATATTTAGAAAAAAAATGAGTATGACTCTGCTCAAGTTAATTTCCATATGAGAGGCAGACATCTCAAGATAGTAGTAGCTTGTAGTGAGGGTTTACCAAAGTCTTCTCTACAGTCCTCTGAGACTTTAGAGAGAGAACGCTTATTTAACCTCATGAGATTGATTCCATGCCCCCAACCTGGGCTGAGAAGCTAAAGTTTGGGGTACTAAGGTTGGGGAGGCTGAGTGCACCAGCACCCATGACCCACAGCTCTCCCATTCGCAGACCCCTTCTTCAGGAGCACCCAGCCCTGGATCGCAGCCCTGGAAAAGACCCTGCCTATCTCGCTGCTGCTTCTCGCAGGAGCCAGTTACTTCTTGTGGAGACAACAGAAGGAAAAAATTGCCCTGTCCAGGGAGACAGAAAGAGAGCGAGAGATGAAAGAAATTGGATATGCTGCAACAAAGCAGGAAATAAGCCTAAGAGGTATCCAAAGAAAACAGAGAATCTAAGCCGCAGGCTTGCAGGCCCAGCCTGAAGATCTCACCCCCATCCCCACCCTGGCACTGCATCATGTTTAAGGTTTATTTTCCCGAAATCCCCCTCACCCATAATTGTTCTTTTTTTTTCTCTCTCTCTCTTTTTTTGTTTATTTTCCAGAGAAGCTCCAGAAGGAACTCAGTAAGTTCCCATTCCCCCAGAGACCCAGGCATGTCTTCTTATCCCCACTTTGAGCGCCTTGATAACTGTTCCTTCCCTGTTCATTCCATTGCAGAGTGGAGAAAAATCCAGTACATGGCTCACGAGTGACTCTGACATTTTTTCTGAATTTGAATCTATGATTCTCTTCTACTTGGAAATTTTTCAGCCCATAAGTCTTTGCCCAGGGTTGAAAAATGGTCCTAGATCCCCTTACTCAGGAAAAGAAAGTAAATGAGGCTCTTTGGAGAAACCACCCAGAAGGAGTCTCTCTCTCTCCTCTTTCTCTCTAAGAAAAGAAAAAGAGATCTTCAATCTCTTTGTACTAGGGGCCACAGACATTTATGCCCTAAAAAGCACTGAGGAAATCCAGGGGTACACTTCAAAAGGAAGAGGAAAGAGAAGGATGAGGTGCATTTTCTACGGCAGGAAACTTACTTGTTGTTTTCCATAATCTAGAGGAGGTTGAAAGGAAAACAAGAAGGGAAGATTTAAGAGATAAGAAAATCAGAAAAGAGAGAGGGAGAAAATGTGTCTAATAAAGAGGAGTAGCTACAGTGGCTCAATTGGTACAGATTGATCATAGCTGCTTTCAAAACTAGTCCCTGAAATTGCGCATTAAATTTCCCAAATTCTGTTTAGAGCACGGTAGGAAATGATACAGATCGAGAAGGATGGATCTTGTACTTCTAGACATTCACATATAGACATGGTGACACCTATGCCCAGGTACAGGAGTATAAACAGATTCAAAATAGATTAGGTGGGTTCCATTGGGAAGGAACTCTCACAGTGACTGCATTGCCACTAGCATTCAACCAGTGTTCCCAGACTGGATATTAAGAAGAAGAGGTGAAGAGAGAATTCAGCATGCAGGGTGAGACCATAGGGAAGGGTGGAATGGTCAAAAAGAAAGACTAGATGGACGCGAAAGGAAGGGGAAGGGACCAACAGAGCAAAGGCAGTGTTCATGTGACATCTCTGTCTTTCTTTCATTGTAGGGGGAGAGAAGTCTTTGGCCTATCATGGTGAGTGAGCCTGATGCTCTCTGGGTTTGCCGGGTCATGTACCATGAACATTTCAACCTTTTCTCTGCTGTGACTCATTGACGTTCTCAGTTGGATTAATCAGTTCTAACCCATAGACTCAATTTTGCATGGTAGGGGGTTGACTTCTGCTTTTTTGGAGCCTCTGAGAGACTCCTGACCCCACATATGCCCAGGCAAAGCATAGCCATGCAGCCTGCACCCCTCATGGCACAGGGAGCCAAGCCCGACATTGTTTAGAAGGTGCCACCTCTGATCCATCAGAGCTGTACAGGAGGGGGGCTGAACCCTGGAAGAGACGCTGAAGAAAAGGAGAGAAAACATATAGTGAAAGGAGAATGGAGTGGAGAAAAGAATAAAACTACTGACCTTTTTCTTATCTGTGTCTCTTTCCTTTCAGAATGGAAAATGGCCCTCTTCAAGCCTGGTGAGTAAATCACTGTATGTTCCCTGGACCAACAACCTGAGGGACTATATTCCTTTTTCCTCCTCCAACTCTTGTGATTTGGGGAAGAAAAGTTCTTTGACTAAGAGAGTTTGGGGTACAAAACATTAAATCCCAATCTGAAAAGTGGGCCCATCTCCAAGACCCTTCCTGCTGAGAGCCCAGGGAACCAGAGAGAATTGCTGCCTTGGGCTTCCTCAGACCCTCCTGGGAAGGAAGACACATAAAGGGTGGAGCTGAGGGGAAGATGACACACACTGAGTGATACTGCAGGGAGAGTGAGGATGGAAATGCCAAACAGAGGAGGTGACTCCTGCCCAAAGAACTTTGCCCTTCCCAGGCTTCTCATGCCACCTACCGCCTGTGTCATTTCAAAGGATTTAATGCTTCTGAGTTTTGGCCTCCACATTTTTCGATGATGATTGCAATCTGTGTTTGTGGCGGTTGAGGTGAAGACTGAAGGAATCATAAATATCCATTGCTCAAAAACCTACTTAAAAAGAAATGATGAGTTCACACTGCATGGTTGAAGAAGGTTTGCAGAAAAGAGGGTTAAGGGAAAGCAACAAAGAAAAGTGCAGTGCCCCCATGGTTCCCAACAGTGGGGAGCTGTCTCCACCCCTAGCCTGGGAGGAATAGGGAGGGGAGTCAGTTACTGGAACCCAGAGAAAAGTAGCACAAAGAGAGGGCTTCCTGAGAAGAGTCGTCAGGCCTTGTTAGAGCCACACCAGCTGCTGCTGGCAGGGAGGAAGCAGGAAAATAAACGGTGTGTCTCTCCTTTCTTTCTCCTTCCAATTTTTGCCAGGGCCTCCCATTGGCCAAACCCAACAGCAAACTAGAGGACAAGGGAGCCCAGTGGCACTGTCCCTAGAGTACAGATTCCTGGGGCCCAGAAGAGGGTGGAGAAAGCTGAAGGTTGGAGAGTGAATCACGGGCCCCCACAGAGCCCAGCACAGAGACTACCTTGCAGCTATTAGAATATCAGGAGCTTTCTTCATGCCCTGCTGTGGGCTCAGTAAATAACATGATTCCCTTATACTACGCTAGAGATTCGTATTTTTATCCCCATTTTTCAGTTGAGGAAATGCTTCAGATGACGCTCCACCTTGTTAAATAAATTGGATGTATGGAAAAATAGACTGCAGAAAAGGGAAATTCATTTAGTTCATGAGTGGTCGAGTGACGACTGAAATTTAACCTTTGATTATAAAGCATTCAGGGGCAGAGTCAATCTGGGGAAGGAAACAAGAAAAATGTAGTAAGAGGATCCTTGTTGCTTCCTGAGGCAGCATCAGGGTATTGGGTTAGGCAAATACTGACCTTACTTTCATTTCCCCTCTGGACACAAGACCCCTTGAGCTTTCTCCCATGACATCGATGAGAGAGTCAAATTCAGGGCAGGTGAAGTACGCCAGGTTCTGTAAGGACCTCCTCAGCATGGCCCAGGCCTTGCATGCTGAGGCTCTGAAATCCAGGAAAAATGACTGACCCCATGGACACCTCCTCAAACTCTCTGCAGCGGATGTGATTCTGGATCCAGACACGGCAAATGCCATCCTCCTTGTTTCTGAGGACCAGAGGAGTGTGCAGCGTGCCGAAGAGCCGCGGGATCTGCCAGACAACCCTGAGAGATTTGAATGGCGTTACTGTGTGCCTGGCCGTGAAAACTTCACGTAAGGGAGACATTACTGGGAGGTGGAGGTAGGGGACAGGAAAGAGTGGAATATAGGGGTGTGTAGTAAGAATGTGCAGAGAAAAGTCTGGGTCAAAATGACACCGGAGAATGGATACTGGACTATAGGACTGACTGATGGGAATAAGTATCGGGCTCTCACTGAGGCCAGAAACAACCTGAAACTTCCTGAGCCCCCTAAGAAAGTGGGGATCTTCCTGGACCATGAGACTGGAGAGATCTCATTCTACAATGCCACGGATGGATCTCATATCTACACCTTTCCGCACACCACTTTCTCTGAGCCTCTTTATCCTGTATTCAGAATTTTGACCTTGGAGCCCACTGCCCTGACCATTTGCCCAACACCAAAACAAGTAGAGAGTTCCCCCGATCCTGACCTAGTGCCTGATCATTCCCTGGAGACACCAGTGGCCCCAGGCTTAGCTAATGAAAATGGAGAGCCTCGGGCTGAAGCAACATCTCTGCTTCTGCCTGCCCAACCTGGAGTTGACGGCCTCCGCCGCCATAACAACCAATCAGAACCATAAAGCTACAGGCACTCACTGAAGCATTTTACTGATATTCATTCGATGATTCCATATGACAGTTGTTTGAGTTTGGTACCACCTTATTGTCCCTTTATACAGATAAGGAAACTGGGGTACAGAAAGGTGAATTAACTTTACAAAGTAGACATGACTAGTGAACAACGGAGCTGGGATCTAAACAACAATAACTAACATTAACAGAGAATTTAAACTGTTCTGAGTGCTGTGTTGTACACTTTGGTGGATGTCAGTCCTTTGATCCTCACAATACCCCATCGGGTAGTCTCATTTTGCAAGTATGGAAGTTGAGGCAGGGCAATATTCAGTAATTTACATAACTCATATAGTAATTTGTGTAGTTGGGAGATGTTCAGCCTCAGTCCCTGGCTAATTGCCTATTCTTTTCCAGCCTGATGTTTTCCCATGGGAAGAACCTACATGTAGCCCTGAGGTTTCCTCCCCAGGACAGCTCCAGGGTACAGATCATTGTAAGTGGTTGTGGAGTTGACATCCCTATTGACTCCTTCCCAGCTGATTATCAGAGCCTTAGACCCAGCACTCCTTGGATTAGCTCTGCAGAGTGTCTTGGTTGAGAGAATAACCTCATAGTACCCACATGACATGTGACTTGGAATGAGACTAGAGGCCCCTCGCAATAAATAATGGGGCATAGATGTGTGCCCACCCAAAAATGTGATAAGTGATATCGCAGCCAGAACCAGCCTTCTTACAGTCAAGGTTTCCAGGCAGAACAAATACCCTAAAGATTCTCTGTGACATAGGAAATTTGGATGAAGGAAGCTAGAAGAATTACAGGGATGGTTTTAATCCCGCTATGGACTCAGTCTTCTGGAAATAGGTCTGTCCACCCCTGATCATTGGTGGATGTTAAACCCATATTCCTTTCAACTGATGCCTGCTAGGGAAAACTACTCCTCATTATCATCACTATTATTGCTCACCACTGTATCCCCTCTACTTGGCAAGTGGTTGTCAAGTTCTAGTCATTTAATAAAGTGTTAATAATGCTTACTCCTCAACTTGGCTTTTTCTAGACTGTGGAGTCTACTCAGCAAAGAGGAGTAGTCTGCACACCCACTGGACTCACCACAGTCTCAGTTTACTTCACTACAGCATTTTCACAAAACCCTTATTGGGTGCATTTTCTATTGCTGCCATCTGAATTATCAGAAATTTATAAACATTTTTTTTGTTCTGTTTTTTGTTTTTTTTTTTTTGAGACTGGATCATACCACTCCCAGGCTGGAGTACAATCTCAGCTCACTGCAACCTCCGCCTCCCAGGTTCAAGCGATTCTCCTGCCTTAGCCTCCCAAGTAGCTGGGATTACAGGTGTGTGCCACCATGCCCGGCTAATTTTTTGTATTTTTAGTACAGACGGGGTTTCACCATGTTGTCCAGGATGGTCTTGATCTCCTGATCTCGTGATCCACCCACCTCGGCCTCCCAGAGTGCTGGGATTACAGGCATGAGCCACCGTGCCTGGCCTCAGAAATTCATAAACTTAAAGCAAAACAAATGTATTATCTCACTGTTCTATAGGTGAGAAGTCCCACAGGAATCTCACCAGGCTAGAATCAAGGTGTCTGCAGGCTGGATTCTTTTCTGGAGTCTCTAAGGAAGAAACTGTTTCCTTGCTTATTCAGATTGTTGACGGAATCAGTTCCTTTCATTTATAGGACTGAGGTCCCAGTTGTTTCCCGGTTTTTAGCTAAGGACTGTACCCACTTCTAGAGGCTGCCACACTCTGGCTCCTAGCTCGCTTCCTATATCTTCAAAGCAGCAACAGTGCGTTGAGGCTCATCTCCTAGGTCTTTTTCTCATTGTATCTCTCTGATTCTTTCACCTTCTCCTTTTTTTTTCACTTCTTTACTTTTTTTTTTTCCTCTTCTTTGACAAGGACTCACTCTGTCACCCAGGCTGAAGTGCAGTGGCGTGATCTCAGCTCACCACATATTTTGTCACCTGGGCTCAAGCAATCCCCCCACCTTAGCTTCCCAAGTAGCTGGGACCAGAGGCCCATATCACCATGCCGGAGTATTTTCCTGTAGAGACAGGGTATCACCAAGTTGCCCAGGCTGGTCTCAAACTCCTGAGCTCAAGCAATCTGTTCACTTTGGTCTCCCAAAGTGCTGGGTTTGTAGGCGTGAACCACTGCGTTCAGTCTGCCTTTTACTTTTAAAGACTCCTATGATTAAACTGAGATCACCCAGACAATTTAGAATAATCTTTCTATTTTAAGGTCCATAATCTTAATTCTGTGTGAAATTCATTTTACCATGTTATACATTCTTTTCATAACTTTCATAGTGGATATAGCTCCAAGGGTGGGTGGGGGCAGCACTATTCAGCTCACCACACTGATTTGGGAAGAGATCCCAGGAAACACAAGTGCAGAAATAAATTGAGAAATGAAAGAAAGCCACTTACATGAGAAATGGGATAAAGGGTTCACTCATGAGTCAGTTACCATGTGGATAACTTGGCTCAATCCCTTTTAGGACTCCGTAAGAAACCATATTAAATGTGTGATATAGCTCAGAATCTTCCTAAGGACTACAGGGCCTGAGACTTTATCTCCACTTCCCATCCTCCTTTGCTTGAATTGGTTGAAGGTTGGCCTGGGAGTGTTAATTCTAATGCACTTTAAAATTGAGCTATATAACTGCAGAAAAGCAACTATCACGGGTGTGATAAAGCTCACAGGCAAAGGAGAAGGGAGATACTCACTGGAGGTGGGGAGGTTGTCATCCTCGCAGAAAACTGTGCCTCAGCTATTGGCAAACTGTGATAGGCCAAGAGAATATGGGATGGGACATCAACAGCGCCTGTTCCAAGGGCTCTGCCTCTGAGAATATAGTGAACGCCTTTCAAGGTCTCTCTGCCCTCCCTGTACCACATTTAGCATTAGTGACCTCTTCTCTTCCAATACATGTCCATATCACATGGTCCTGCAGCCTCACCACATGGACTGGGTCTGGGATGGACACCCGACCCAGGCTAGGCCAGAGAACCAAGTGACATGTGACCAGTTACACCTTTAGCAGATGTGCATGGGAGCTGTGGGAAGAACTGTTTCTTTCATGGTGTGGACTGAAAAATGGTGGATTGCAGAGAGAACACCAAAGCCGATGAGCAGAGACAAGGCTACAAGATGGAAAGAGTTTAGGCAAATTTCTCCTGTTTGGTTCTTTTAGAAGCCCAGTATCACTTCTTCTCTTTGAAAAAATTTGTTCTTTTGAGGCAAGGTAAATGTACTCATTAATATTGCTGTAGTCCTGATATTCAGAAGCTTATGCAACTATTATTATATGTTCAGTGATTCTGTGGGTCAGAAATCTAGAATTTGAACAGGGCAGAGTAGGAATGGATTTTCTGTGTGCCAAGATGTCTAGGCCTCCCCTGGGAGTACTCCATAGCTGGAGATGACACACCCATATTACCTTCAAAGACGGTAGTTTATTGCAAAGCAAAAGGGAATCAGTGTTCACCCTGTGTCCTGGTTCTTTCAGGGTTGGCAGGTCCATAAAGAACCTTGCTGAAGTAACCCTTCCTGTCTCTATCCCTCCCACTACAGAGCATGATTGGGTTAGGTTGTTACTATCTAACCAGGGACACCCCAGTAGTACTTGATTTCTTTCTAAGCTACCCCATCTTCAACTGATCCTCTTTCTTGTCAGAACATACATGTTTCCCTCTGGCTCAGATCAACTTTGGCAGAGGCTGAGGCCTGGCTTAGCTGGATGCTTCTGGCAAAAGACCTACTTCAAAGCCCTGGGCCTTATTTCTTCAGGTAAAAAATGTAAAGTCAGATCTCATCC